TTTAATTATTTTTTTTAATCGAGACGTCGAGTCTCGAAAGTCGAACCTCTCGGTAATTACTAATTGGTTGCGCCTAGGCGTCGGTAATTCGTTGTGTGTAGCCCGTCGCCCCGTCGGTAATCCGTCTATCGTCCTGCCTGACTAGACTAAAGGGTTGATGTATTGAAGTGATTTTTTTTTCCTATCAGAATAAGTTTGTTGAGATTTGAATTTGAATTTGATACTTTGTTATCATCGTATGTTGATTGAAATTAACTGTTATTGCAGACTTACATTAATGGAGAAGTACTTCCGAAAAGTAGCAAATTCAGAGGAACCTTCAACTCTTTTTTTTTTTCATATTGCCCAGGCTAATAACAAATTCTGTATCCGCCACTGCATACATCATTCTCAATTTCATTGTTTAGCATCAAGTCAAACGAGGGAACCCCTCAATACCCGATTATTTCAACGATTTATTTAATTGTTAATATAAGTATTTTGTGCAATATGGTTAAAAGTTTCTTCGAACTATTTTTTGCCCTGGCTGATGAAAATTTCTGGATCCGCCGCTGTCTGCGAGCCATTAATTGAAAGAGATCCTGGTCCATCGCTCGAGAATATGATGATGGAGTTGACGGCTCACACCCTTAACTTTCAGCAAAGCGTTGAGGCTAGCATCAAGAGCCAAGAACTGAGCATCAAGAACCGAGAGGAGAGCTTCGAGAACCAAGGCTTGCGAATAAAGAATTTACAAGGGCAAATGAGCCAATTGGCGGAACAAATGGACCGACTAGTGTGTCGGATCGAAACGATTCCAATGAGTTCAAGCGTCACCCATTCGTGTAGAAAAGACCCCGAAGAGCCTGAAGAATGCACATACGAACTGGAGAACGAAAAAATCACGAATATAGAGAAAGCAGAGTCGCAGCAGCAAAATACTGGGGTACCCCGTACTCGACTTGCTGGACCCAGTACTCGACCTGCTGAAGCCAAAAAGCGTACCGTTCTCCCCACTCTTGTGCCGATAGAAGCTGAACCATGTCATATCTCTTCCAATATGAAGTGGGTCCTGAGTAAGGATGCACTGAAGTATGTCTTGGGCCTTGATATACCTTCTCTTGAGACGATCGAGCAAAATGTGAGGCGCAAATGGGAGTTTAATAAGATTATGATCGTGACTGATCACGGGCTGCTACATATTCTTGAGCAACTAGCGTCATGGAGGAAAGATCCGGTGAAGCATCCAATGCCGAAAAGAATAAATTTCAATAAGCATGGGGCCATGAGAATTGTGCCACCTTTGAGGCCACCTCCGAAGCCGCCATGGGTCTTTTGATGAAAGAGAGCAATAAGTCGGGCCAACGACAATAAAAAGAGGCGCTTATGGGAGGCAACCCAATGGTGTGCATGGTTCGGA